TTGTTCATATTTGCAACATTAATATTTCTCTCACTGAATTAATGTCGATTATTTTCCCACCTGATTACTTCTTGCAAGAGGATGGGGCAGGACACTACTTACCCATTTTTATACACCTCTTTTGTTGTGATCTAGCACATGGTAGAGGCTTCCAAATGCTTGGCCTAGTTTAGGCACCAGAGCCACCTCTGCTCATAAGGAGCTGCTTTGAGGGATAGACCAGAATCCCCTTTCCTAGATGTATTCAAAGCTACAGACAGAGGATTAAAATTTTAGGTGACTGGACTGAATAGACTGCCGATTAAAAACCCCTTTGGCCCAAAGATCCTAAAGTATGCAATGTCCCCTGACAGTGAGCTTTTTTACTCTCTCCCTAAAGAGAGCCAATTCAGAAATTCTCAGTTAATGGCAGATTTTTAAATCTTATGTCACTGGGTTTCTGTCATGTGTTGTTACGTTCGCATCAACTCATGAGTAAGAACTAGCATCTAAAGTCAGTGACTGACCCATTATACTTAAAATAACATCAAGAAATAGAGATCGAAAATAAGTGTGACTTATTAGATATAGATTATAAGCACTACAAAAGGAGAGAAAAATCAAGGGGGAGCCAGAATTACCAAGGAAAGGATTCTGAATCAGGTACTGAATAATAGATAGAATATAAATGGTCAGAGAAGCATTTCCATGTTAAGAAAAACAAAAGCAAGAAATGAAGGGACAAAATAAACCTGGGGTAGCACTGAGGACAGGAGAACCATGTGATTAAAGCTCAAGTCAGTGTTGGGGATAGTAGGAAATGCTACTTGTCCAACAATGTGGGGCCAGATCATTGGAGGTGTGGAGGAGAGTTGAAGAGCTGGTAATAGGCCATTGAAGGTCTTGCAGAAGAGCGAGGTGATGAAAGAAGTGTTTTAAAAAATTAAATCTGGGAGAACATTGCAGGATGGACATGAGGGGAGAACCCAAAGTAAACAGCAGCCCCTAGGAAGATGGGGACAGAGGTGTCACTGGGAATGGGAAAAAGGAAAAGCCCAAGAGGAGCTAGAAGGATCTGTTGAATAGGTATAGAAGTTATAGAAAAGGATGTGTCTAAAACGATGGAATGGATATGGTGGTGCCAAAGAGACGGTCAAGGAATTGAAGAAGAGAAGCTGGGTTGGAGAGCAAGGAGGCTTTAGGGCATGTTAAATATGAAGTAAGAACAAGACACTCAACTGTGAAATAGCCAGGAGCATATAAGCTATGAGACTGGAATTTGGAGGAAGAAAAGGATTCAAACTGGAAACTTAAGAGCTTTCTATAGATAAGGGAAGGTTGAAGTCTTGAAAGGAGAAAGAGGGGGCACAAGAGCCCAAAGGTGAACAGCTGAACCTTGAGGCCATTTCAAAAGTAGAAGTTCACAAAAATATGGGCACAATGGAAGAAGTAGAAAAGGAGCAATCAGTGTGGGAAAATAACTCAGGGTCCAATAGTGTCACAGAAAACATGAAAGGAGTTTCAAAAAGGACTTGATGACAGATGATGGATGATGGATAAGGGCCAGAGCATGTAAAAGATACCATCATGCTACTTACAAACGAGCAGGGGTGTTCCCCCTCTCAACTACTAACATACTATATAATATTATTGAATTGGTGAGTGGACAGAAAAAGAAATTTTGTGGCTGTGAGCTACACTCTGTTTTATGTATCTTAATGACAAAAAAGAGATATATTAATTTGTTGCTATTCTTTGTGCAATCAAAGATATACAAAATGAAAGATAATTCTGCTAATATGGAGTTGATTTTGAGGAATGTCATTGAGAAATTGTACTCTCCTGGGAGCGATTTTGTTATATAATAGAAGTAATACTGCAGATGAGAAGTACTGGCCATATATTATAAGTGTGTGAGTAATGTATTAAAATATAAGACCTGTCCTGGCCAGTTGCTCAGTGGTTAGAGCATCAGCCTGCAGACCAAAAGGTTGAGAGTTTAATTCCAGGTCAAGGTCACGTATCTTGGTTGCAGGCTCAATCCCTGGGCCCAGTTGGGGCACATGTGGGAGGCAACCAATGGATGTGTCTCTCTTTTTTTTTTTAAATATATTTTATTGATTCTTTACAGAGAGGAAGGGAGAGAGATAGAGAGTTAGAAACATCGATGAGAGAGAAACATCGATCAGCTGCCTCCTGCACATCTCCTACTGGGGATGTGCCCGAAACCCAGGTACATGCCCTTGACCAGAATCGAACCCGGGACCTTTCAGTCCGCAGGCCGACACTCTATCCACTGAGCCAAACCGGTTTCGGCGATGTGTCTCTCTTTTATCAATGTTTCTATCTCTCTCTCTGTCTCTCCCTCCTCCCTCCTTTCCACTCTCTCCTCTAAAAAAAAAAAAATTCAATGGAAAAAATATCCTCGGGTGAGGATAAAAAAAAATGTACAAGTCTTGACAAAAGTTACAATAAATATCCGCAAGCATTTACAACTGATATAGGGAATAGAAAGTCACTCATGAGATACTGCTAAACACACACAAAGAAGATGTGTTTGATTTCTCAGGAACCCTTGGGAAGTAATACCTCTCTCTCATTTGCTTATGAAACACCCATTCTGTGTGCAAAGTTTATCAAGAGCCAGACTTGCAGCTGTGAACTATCTGGGAAAACACAACAACCACAAGGCAATGTTTCTAGTCAGTTTTGGCATTAAAAAAATCACCCAAATCTGACTGATAGAGATAATATGAGAGGAAGCCCAGTGCCTTTTCCATTGTCACTGATGGACTGAGACTTGGCTTCTGGAATAGGAATCCTGTGCAAGAAATGCCCTTTACTTCCCCTGAATGGAAAAAAAAACACTCAAATTAATAATAGCAACCATGGACAGATCCAGGTTTCAAAGAATGTGGGTTTTATAGAATGTGGGTGCCGTTCTTAAGAAAAAAGAATGCAAAATTAAAAATATAAGATGCAGTATGAAGCTGGTTATTTATTTAGAATGAGAACCTGCAGTTGTAAGGCCATAAAGCGTAAGGGTCATGAGCTGCATGGTAAAGGGAAAAGAGCAGGTAATCAGGCAGAGTAAAAAAAAAAAATATTCCTGAAGAAATACTGGAGCACAGAACAGTGAAAAGACAAGAACAATATCTCAGAAAGAACCGTGAATTGTGAAATATGGATGATATGGAGATAGGAGAGGAGACAGAACTAATCAATTTACATTACACATTCTCATATTTGTTTTCCAGTGATCAACAATCATATTGCTTTAGGATTTTGGAAAAGCAGTCCATTGCAGGCACTCAACAAATGTTTGCTGTGAGTGAGTGAATGAATGAATGAAAGCAAGAGAACTACTCCTTTTTAAATTTTTGTTTATTAATTTGAGAGAGAGATCGATTTGTTGTTCCATGAATAGATGCATTCATTGGTTGGTTCTTCTGGTATGTAGCCTGACCAGGGATTAAACCTGCAACCTTGATTTATCGGGATGACACTCTAACTAACTGAGCTACCTGTCCAGAGCTGGGAAATATTTCTTTTTCTTACTGTCCACCAGGATCTGCTTTCCTGTGATGCTCCAACATACATGCATGTTTTTGCTGGCACTGGCTGGAGTTGTCAAAGCAACAGCTTATGTCAATCTCTTTTCCGGTGATTAAGACTGTTTATCCTCAACAGGCCAAGTAAAAAGCTATCTTCACCCAAAATTAATTTGTAAGCATGTTGAGAGTCTCCTCAAAAGGTGTATACATAAAAATGGTTTCTGTGGGGCCAGCATACTTACTCCCTGCCTTTCTCCCTCTTTCTAAATCAGACCCTGCAGGTATACTTCAGAAATTATTAACACCCTTCTGAGTTGTGGACAGATTAGTGTGGGATTCTCGCTAAAGCTGAAACATAATTTGTAAATTTCAAACATGTATACGAATTATGACAACATAAGTGACAATTTAATATATCAGTCATGAGGGGGTTTCCAGGACAATAGGGAAAGGCCTCATGCACCACTCCATTGGTCAGCTACAAACCTAAGGTAGGACCAGGGGAACTCAGGCCCATCAGCTGGCTCAACACAGGACATGATTGGGAGGAGGGGGAGCTCTTATTAAAAGACACAATAGGGCATACCCTGAGTTGACCTTGATCCCAGCTTCACAAAGAGATTCTCTTTGGGCAATAAATGGCCTACATCTTCCTGCAAGCTCTAAAAAAATACAGTGGGAGTAGGTTAAAACTAAGAGCCTACCCTCTTTTTCTTTTTTTATTGATCTTTCTCATTGAAGTAACATAGGTTAATATTGTACAAGTTTCAGGTATACAGCATTCTAATTTGATATCTGTATACACTATACTGTGCTCACCACCTAAATTCTAGTTTTCGTCTGTCTGCATATATTTGAACCTTTTTCTTTAGCAATTCTTCCTCCTTCCTGTTCACTTACCAAATTTTTTAAGGAAAGGCACTTTAAAAAGAGGAGGACTGGAATAACACTATTACTACATCAACACTACAAAAATCCGGATACTGATGTCCTTTGCCTGTTGAGGGCAAATGACATGAAATCAGTGAGGCAAAGCAGCCACCTCAGGAATTAGAAGTGAGACCGTTAAATGGGAGAATATCATTTAGCCACTTCCCCGCTAGGTGATTTGACCCTAAACACCTCAGTTTCTTGGTTTTGTAAAATGGAGGCGACTCTATCAACCCCCTGTCAGGCTGCTGAGGATTGAGAAAATCCACATAAAGTGCTAAATAGAACTGCAAGCAAGAGCTAATTGTTAGCATTTAATAGTAGTAACAAATTATTGTTCCAGCTTCTCCCCATGCACACCACCAACAAAACTGGCACAACCCCCAGTTCTGCACTGCTTGGTCTGGGGGCAGCCACTATTGCACTCTTTCAAATGCACCAAAGAGAACCCCCTCCCCAAATGCCAGGGCGCTACTGAAAAGCCCCTACTCCAGAGCAACCAGGGACCCTCAGGCTACCTATAAGGTTCATACTGACCTGAGATGCCACCTCCTATCACGACTACGTCGAACAGGTGGCCGGAGACACTCGCCTTCTCCCGACTCGCCATGCTCTGGTTGACAGTCTCCCAGGAAGAGAGGCTGAGGCTGGCCCAGGGTGCGGAGCGCTCTTCTACCCACTCTTCCCCGGAGCCCGGGGGTGGAGCCAGTTCATCCACTGATTGCCAGGCAGCGTCCCGCCCTGAGGGCGGAGCCGATACTTGTACTGACACCCCGCGGGAGTCCCGGGGCGGGTCCGATGCTTCCATTGGCATTCGACTGACACTGGGCATCACGCGCTGGGTGGACATTCTTGCCAACAGTTGGGAGGAGTCCACAGGAAAAGAAGGCTGTGGCCCAGAATGCCGAAGGGGGCGGGACTCCGAGGCCAACCCTCTGGAAGAGCCATGCATCGTGACAGCTTCTTGTGACCAACTACGTGGGGTGCTGAGCACTGAGGACGGGTGGGACCCCTGATTGGCCACTTGCGAGGAGGTCATGGACATGAGCCGTTCTTGTGCTGAACTCCTGGCCGAGCTGTACAACGAGGACGGGGGAGACCCCTGCTCGGCCTCTAGCGAAAAGTTCGAGGAGGGGGCGTCTTCTTGCACCGAACTCCTTTCACTGCCGACTGTTGTTTGCGAGGGGGACCCCTGAATCGACTCTAGGAAAGGGCCCTGGAACGGGATAGGTCTTGGTGCAGATACTTTGGGGGTGCGGATTACTACGGATGACAGGGATTCTTCTGACGACCCCTGGGGGGTGTTTTGTGGTACCGTAGGCATTGACCCTGAGTCCTCGAAGAAGTCGAGCGATGCGCGCAGGGCGCCCCCGCGTATAGATATTCCAGAAGTGGTACTGGGCTCAGGAGATGTCGCCCATTCTGATTCTCGGAGGAGGCTGGCCGAAGGGGGCTGGATGGATTCTTCCACCGATATTGATACTCTTTTGAGGGTGCTACTGGATGGAGGAGGCTCAGTGGCTGTTTCCCCGAGGTTGTCGGGGCCAGCCCCCTCCGAGCTGCTGGAGCCACTGTCTGAACTGGAGGCCCCGCTAGTCTGGTCCAAGGCGAGCGAGCCCGGGAGGCCGGTGTTAGAGGCGGTGGCGGGCCCCTGGCCCGAACAGGGAGTGACCTGGGAAAGCAAGCTAGAGCTCCAGGAGTCGTCGGCGTCGGGCGTGGAAATGACTGACTGGGTGGTGCTGGAAGGCAAATAAGA